GAGTAACCCTTATTACTCTACCTTCTCCGATTAGGTCTCTTTCCAAGTACATGAGCGAGCTTGCCTTGGTACCCTGGGTACAAGTGCGGTACGATGTTTCTGAACCAAGGAGGAGTTCTGTTGCCCTGACCTTTAGGCGGACAAGACATAAACTCGGAGTATCGCGCCTGAGTCTTTCCTGGGATATTTGTTCCCTCATTAAGGGTGCTGGAGGTAAACGTTTTCTAGGTTTTGGTGATAGGATCCTAAAATTCGAGTAACTTCTAAGGAAGCCATCCTATCAGCAGGTGTATAATATCGGGTCTATTGTACTGCCATTTTGTGAATAATTTCTAGACAGAGCGATAGTCTCCGGTGGGGCCTCTTGATGCCACGATAAAGGGTACTGCTACGGCTGTATCTTTGGACGATGCTCTCCTGTTTATTTATGCATGCAACTCCTGCGGGTGCGTCTGTTTCTCTGCCTAATAGTCTTCTGCCAACCAATGCACACATGAATCCAATCAAAATACAAATGAACAAAGCTATCAAACCCAACCTAAAAAAAAAAGTAGACCCCCTCGTAAATCTCCTACACCAATGTGAAGGGTCTACATTCCAATTTTCCAGAAGTGGACCACCGTCTTCTCCAGTCTAAACCAAACCTCCTGTTATTTTCTGAAACCGCTATCAATGCTACATGCGCAATTGGGGAGTTCACAGTCCCGGGTTACGCACCTCTTATAGCCAAACATGGACTCGGAGTTTACATCAAAGACGATGGAGCAAGGACGCGAAAAACGAAGAACCCAATCTCCCGTATATGTGATTCCGCATGGCACTTATCTATAGTACCACATCCGTCTTTGCTTTCTACCGTCCTCAGGACGAAGGGACGGTAATCTTCGACCGAATATTGATAGTATTCTCACTCGATTCTCCCCAGCCAGCTTTCATATCTGCGGTGACTTTAATATACCCCATAAAGGAGTGGCTAGTCTTTTCCAACAAAAGCTGTTGAAAGCAGATATTGCAGTGACTTCTCCATCGCCTATGAACTAGACCCCTGACGGGAACCTGGAGAGGGAATGGTCTTTGTCATCTAACTTTGAGTTAGAGGCAAAGTTTCGCCTTATATGTCGAGGAAGATATGACGTCGGGATCATTTATAATTGTGGGCACAGCCGTTTTACCTCTGCTCAAGATTTGGTTAGTGATTTACAGGATCCAATATGTTTATTTTCAACCTTGGACGGGACCGCTCATCGGAGAACCTAGCCCGGTCCCGGACACAGCAGGATATCACACGAACCTCTTCGACCTCTTTCTAACCATCGGCGCTGATAGATGCTTATCAAAAGCTTTACCTCCACTAAGCATATCAGACAATTCCACAATCAGTGCCCAGATTGATGCCAAACTTAAGGTATGCCCTAATGTACCGTTCCATAGAAAGATTTTTTGCTATACGAAGGCAGACTGGGTCTGTTTTCGATCCTACATGATGGTAGCTCCTCTACAAACCTTCTGTAAGCATCCTACATCCAAAACCGCTGCCCTTGTCACTAATTGAATCCTTTATGGAATGGAGAGGTTTATACCCCTGCCCCCAAAAATCAAGCAAAAACAAAACAGTCAACCTTGGTTCACCCCAGAATGCGCTGCAACCATGACTAACCGAAACCACTACTTCAATATCTATTGCAAAGAGCAATTTAATTCTGCCCTCACTCCATTCAGAACTCGCCCGAGCTGATTTTCTTTTGGCTTCCGTAAGTCGATCGATTTAAAATTAATTTACATAGTGATCAGCATCTGTTAAGTCAGCCAAAAAGTTCTGACTCACTTAGGAAGCGAAAAGAAATTAAGAAAATTTCATGGAGCAAGGCCAACATTTACCGGAATTCCCCATATATAATACGCCTTCATCCATAATACGCACCCCAAAATTTGTTCTGAAAAACCTGTGAAAATTTTTCTACTCACGCATAATGTGCACCCCTTTTTTGGTAATCAAACTCTATAAATTGTACCTCTCCAATTTCATTACAACGTCCTTGGTATGATGATAAACTACATCCGCGTCCTGGATAAGACGATAAACTACATCCGCGTTCTGTGTAAGACGATAAACTACGTCCAACAGCAAGGCCTCTGATCAGGAGGTTTTGAGGAGCGTAGAACCACCTCTTAATTGCTGGTGTTCCCAGGTCCACCCTGACCCGGGGTAGTAGCATTTGTTAGGGTTCCAACTATGGGCAAATAGTTGACACCCAAACTTGTGTAAAAATAGGTTTTAATACCAGAAATACTTTGTAATAAAAAATTATTACTAGCAATAATTTTTGAAGGAAAAATTATTATCAGCTATACATTTTTTTAAAAAAAAAAGTACTAGCAATACAGCTATACATTCTTTGAAAAAAATATGACCAGCTATAGATTTGTTTAAGGAAAAATATTCCCAGCAATAGATTTTTGAAGAAAAACATTACCAGCAATAAAAATTTTGTCGGCATTAAATAACCCATTGAGCTGTTGATATGCCGTAAACCAAACCAAACCAATTTCATTAGGGCCAGCGTTTCCTATACTTATTAAAAACTGGTTTTGAACATAGAATAATATTATTCTAAATTGCTTTTATGATAATTCTTATTTTATTTTTCAGGTACAGTTTCGCTGTATCACAGCTCTTCAGTGAGACTAGACAACAGAATGCCTCAAGCCAGGATTGAAATCCGACCGATTTGGTGTTACTCAGAGTTTCTACCACTGAGCTATCTCCATTCGACAGAATGTAGCACATAAATCTAGCGTACTGTTTGTACAAATGTAAACAAATATCAATCAGCCGGAGTGCTCTATTCATTTTACTGAAGAGCTTCGCATTAACGCAGGTGGCTGTTGTTTATAGAATTAGCTTGTCATTCAACAGTGCTCAACTGAAATCGATGTATGAAACGGCAATTTTTTTAAAGATTTTTTGTAGCTATGCATAATATGCATCCCTAATTTTGCTTTTTTAGAAAAAGATGCGTATTATACATGGGGAATTACAGTATTCTTCAATATAATCTCATTCTCGACTATCTTCTGCCAACGATCAGCCATAATCCAATTCAGTCCCAGATTCCAGTCCGCTGGTTTTGAATCAAAATGTGTAAACAAGCTACCTTCACTTCATGAAAAGTGTTGAATCGCTGGTCGCAGAGGAAGTGTGCCATTGATCGGAATAGGCCATAGTCACTGTGAGCAGCATCGGGACTGAATGGTGGATGTGGAAGAATCTCAACACCGTCCATCTGTTTGAAATTCTCCTTAGTCAATCTGGTAGTCTGTGGCCTTGTATTGTCTTGCTGAAACAAAGTCTGACCTTGAATGTCCAAAGCAAGATACTTCTTATTACTTTGTCCTACAAGCGGTCTAGTTTAGCTATGATGGCATGTCCATGTGGAACAAGCTTGAAATGCAGTACTCCTTGGAAATTCTACTAGACTTAAATTAGGGAAGAGGTGTCATTTTTCTATTATTATTATTATTAGTAGTAGTAGTAGTTTGACCGGAAAGTCCTGATTCATTTAGGAAGCAGAAAGAAACAACCAAATTTTATGGAGCAACACCAACCTTTATTCTTCAAAATAAAATCCTTCATTCTCGATGATCTTCTACCAGCGATCAACCAGCATCCGAATCTATCACAGATAGCAGTCTGTTGGTTTTGGATCCAAAAAACTGTAAACAAGTTTCCTTCACTTTCCTCAAAAGTGTTGAATCGCTGGTTGCGGAGGAAGTATGCCATTGAGCGAAATAGGACATAGTCACTCGGATCAGCATCGGGACTGAATGTTGGCTGTGGAAGAATCTCAACACCCTCCATCTGTTTGAATTTCTCCTTAGTCGACCTGGTAGTGTATGGCCTTGAATTGTATTCCTGAAACAAAGGCCGACATCGACTGTCCAAAGCAGTATGTAGCACATGCGGTCTAGTTGCTAGTTATCGTTGATGGCGCGACTGTGAGGAACAAGCTCGAAATGAAGTACTCCTTGGAAATTCTACTTGACTTAAAGTAGCGATGGGGCGTCAAGAAAACAACCAAATTTTATGGAGCAACACCATCCTTTATTCTTCAAAATAAAGTTCACCATTCTTGACAATCTTCTGCCAGCGATCAGCCAGCATCCGAATCTCTCCCAGATACCAGTCCGCTGTAAACAAGCTTCCTTGACTTCATCAAAAGTGTTGAATCGCTGGTCGCGGAGGAAGTGCTCCATTGAGCGGAATAGGCCATATTCACTCAGAGCAACATCGGGACTGAATGGAGGATGTGGAAGATTCTCAACACCGTCCATCTTTTTGAACTTCTCCTCAGTCAACCTGGCAGTTTGTGGCCTCGCATTGTCTTACTGAAACAAAGCCTGACCTCGATTGGCCAAAGCAGGATACTCTTTCTTTAGTTTGTCGTACACGCGGTCCAGCTGGTGGTAATACAGATTAGCGTTGATGCCGTGACCTTGTGGAACAAGCTCAAAATATAGTACGCCAAGTTCATTAATTTATCTTCGTCTTTCAAATTATCTACGGTGAGATTCTTAACGACAAACACATCTCGACGACCATAGAGCCATAGGTTACCTTTTCATATTTCCCCCATCACACTTTCCTTGTAGCATTCCACACTTTTCCCGGGTTTAACGCCTTTTACAACTTTTATTGTTATGAGCTTTTTTTTTGATATCTTGACTGTCTTTTGGTAATTTTCTCATGTATCCATCAGAACACAATAATGGTAATTCCTTGTTCAGTTTCTTTTGGCTGTCGGTATAATCTCTAGCGCATTCCCAGAAGATTTGAGACGGAATTTCATGAGTTGCAAAAGAGTGACCTAGGCCCTTGAGTGATGAGTTATCGCTCAATCAGCTGTCAGTGCGCCAGAGGGATTTATTTGCAGACAAATCGAGCTCTTGAAATGCAATTTGAAAACAAAACTTTCGAGAAGGTTTGGTGCGTAGTAATGGATATGTTCCGAAGACTTGATGGTAAAGCATTCCGTGACCTCATCTGTTTGCGACAACAATCCTCCTACGGCAAAGTATAACAAACCTACCCACCCAAAAAACGTTCTGTCTAAAAGAACGGTGTTTCACTTGACAACGCGACACGCCTCCAGTAGTGTTTAAATCATTTTAATTATTGAATTTGATTTTTAATGATATTAATTTTTAATAAATTAACTTGTAAATATAAAAGTTTTTCTTCTAAATAAACAATTTAATAAATTGAATCATTTGCTAGGTCTGCTGATAGGAAAGTTCGTTCACTGGGTCGTATTAGGCAATGTTTCTCGCCAGAATCTACCTTCATTCACTTAGTTATTCTCCATACGTGATATGCGTTTAGGCGATCATGACTGACGAGGCAGATTTTTCCCCGCAGTAGGTCGCCATTTCTTTCTGTGTTATACTAGTTGCTATCCAAGTTTATAGAACCCGGTCTGTTTTGCTATCCAAGTTTATAGAACCCGGTCTGTTTTGTTATTTATCCATAACTGGGGGGGGGAGAAAAAGATTCATACCTTTCTCAAGGGTATTAGCACGTATTATAATTTTTTTCTTTTTAAACTTTTTAATTTTTAAATTTTTATTTTATTTTTTAAGCTTATTATTACAGTTAATCTTCGTTTTGTATTTATTTAAATTTTATTTTTTTTAAATTTAAATTCAATTTTTTTAATTCTAATTTAAAAATTTTTAAAACTTATAATTACAGTTATTCATCATTTTGTGTCTATTCAAATTTTTTAAATTTTTATTTTTTATTTTATTTTTTGAGCTTATAATTACAGTTGAATTTATTAAATTTTCTAGTTCAATAATTCAGACATTTTTATAAATTTATGAATAACAAATGTATTTACATAAATATTTCTTTATAATATAGTAAATAATAAATATTTTTATAATCTTGCAAATAAAAAAAAATTGTATAATTTCGTCTGAGTCCCTCCTTCAAATCTACTATTCGTCTTTGCATTGAATACTGTTACCATATATGGTCTGCTGCCCCTCCTTTCCATATCGAGGTCCTCGACAAAATCCAAAGACGGATGTGCAATGTGATAGATCTTGACTTGGCTTCTCGAATCCAGTCACTTTCTCATAGACGTGCTGTGGCTTCCCTCTGTCTTTTCTACAAATATTTTGTAGAAAAGACAGTCGAGCTATTTTCACTGGTGCTCCGACTGCATGAATTTAAGCGTGCTACTAGCTTGGCATCTCGGTCACAATGTAACCACCTCTTCTACTTCAACAGCTTCTTTTCTCGCACTTCCCGACAGTGGAACTCATTTCCTCTTGCTTTCTTCCTGATAGCTATAATCTTTAAATATTCAAATGTAATGTCAATCGACATTTTCTGATGCCTTGATCCTGATCCCCGTCCTTCTCTTTATCCTTTCCTCAAACACCTCTCTTTGCTGTTACTCTCACTCTTTGTAACCCCTTGCGTGCTAGTGGCATTCTCGCCTTGCTTGGGGTGAAATGATTCAAAATAACAGAAATAAAAAAAAACTATCCAATAAATAAACAGTGTTTGCTCTGGTTTTGTTTTTAGTTCTCGAGAAAAAATATATAAAGCCACTTTCATATGCTTAGGTATTAATAAAATCTTAAACATTGATTTCGGAAAAGATTTTTAAAAAATAGCCGAGAGAGTATAGAGTAATAGCATATTTGTAAAACCTGGCAGACGAAACTCGTTAGCGTGGGGACACATAAGGGAAAGAAAATCATCTAGGGAATACCTACCCTTCTTAAGGGTACAGATGTTAGATGTAGAACCAATAACCTTACGTCGATTACAGAAACCTTAAAGAGGACTTCTATGCCACGAATCACCACATAGATAAAACTATCTCTTATCCAGCTTAGGAAGTATCCCGAATATCTCACTAATTGCGTAAGTGCTCTTTTTGTTACCATTTTTTCAAGACATCTATGTTGCTTACTGTTATGGTAATTTACCCAGGCACACATGGAATATCCCAGCTATAAATAGGAGCAGGTACTGCCTTTTAGAGACGGAAGTTTCCAGCAGTCAGCTCTGACAGTCGGACTGAACATTCTTGCTGTAACACTATCGTTTGTATATATTTGTATTACTGTTTTTGTTAATATATTTGTTTAACTCAATTCCTCTCTTGTGTCTTTATTTCTGGCCCTAACAAGGCCACAACACAATCTATCTATCTATCTATCTATCTATCTATCTATCTATCTATCTATCTATCTCAGTATCTTCATTATCTACCTCGGTATCTTCATTATCTATCTATCTATTTAGCTATCTATCTCATTTCCTCTCTTTGTGTCTTTATTTCTGGCCCTAACAACACTATCTATCTATCTATATATATATATATATATATATATATATATATATATATATATCTTCATTATCTATCTCGGTATCTTCATTATCTATCTATCTATCTATCTATCTATCTATCTATCTATCTATCTCACTTCCTCTCTTTGTGTCTTTATTTATGGCCCTAACGAGGCCACAGCATTAATAAAACTACGCATTTATCTTTTTTACTAGATTTCCGGTGTTTCATTTTGATTCTTCTTCTTTTCTTTCTTTCTTTTCTTCTTTTTCTTTTTCTTCTTTCTCTTCTTCTTTTTCTTCTTTTCCTTCCTTTTCTTCTTTTTCTTTTTACTGTATCTCTTTTACTTCTTTTTTACTTCTTTTTCTTCCTCTTTTTCTTCTTTCTCTTCTTTTTCATTTTCTTCTTTTTATTTTTCTTCTTTTTTCTTTATCTTTTTTCTTTCTCTTTTTTCTTCTTTCTTTCTTCTTGATTCTTTTCTTCATTTTCTTCTTGATTTTCTTGTTCTTCTTTCCCTTCTTTTTCGCTTCTTTCTTCTTTATAAACCGTATCGATGGCAATTGACGACCACTACACTATCTATCCCAAAAAACACAAAAGGCGCAAATAAAGAAAAGGAAATTGTGGAGAGCCATTACTGTTCATATCTGTTGTGTAGGAACCTACCACCCCTCTTGAAGATGAACTCGTCTACAAACAAGGACGTTAAATAGTGGCATGTCAAAAGAGTGTGGGAGAAGTTCTTGAGCTGAGGTGTTACTTTTTGTGTTTACACCGTTTCTTCTCCTGACCGGTGCTAGACATTTTTTGCTGTCTTCCAAAGGACTATTTTTTGAACTTTTTCTGACTGCCTTAATTTAGTTAAGTTTTTTGATTTAATTTTTACCGTGATTTTTTGACTTTTTGTTAAATTTGTCATTTTTCGAACTTTCTTATTTTGACCATTTGTTTTTTCCTTTTCATTTCCTTTCCCTTTTATTTACCGTTACTTCTTTTTAATTTTTATTTTCTTTTACGTTTTACTTTTCTTTGTTAAATCTATTTTCTTCCAGTGCCCACACCCCGGAGTTTATCTGTTTATTTTTCGTCTTTACGTCCGACCTTTTTTTCCCTTTATTTAGTTATTACGTGTTAATTATTTCTGTGTTGTTTTTTTTTGTTTTTTTTTACCCGTTAAAAAATCTACGTTTTATCTGTTAATTACGTGTTTATAATATTTGTTTTTTTTAATTTGTGTTTAATTTGTAATTTCTGTCCCTCCTCTTTTTTCCCCTTATTTAACGTTTTCTTTGTTGGGTTGACCGTTTTTTTTTTTTTAGCGGCAGCCATTTTGTAAATTGTTATATTTTTAGTTTCGCGTTTTTCTCGTATTTTTCCGTTTATAACTATTAGTTTTATTGTGTAATTTGTTGCTTTCTTGTCTGTTGTCCTTTTAATTTTTGTTCTTTCTTCGTTTTTGTGAACCTTGTTCACATTTTCTCGTCTGTATATTTGTTTTGCGTTTTTCGTTTTTTTTTTTTTACCTGTTTACATTTGTGGTTATAATTTTTGCACACGTCCTTCTGTTTGATTTTTGTTGTCTGTTGATATTTGTTTAATTGTTGTCTTGCTGATAGGCCAAACTTTTATTTTTACCTCCCCTTTATTTTTTTTCTCCCTCCCTCCGCCTATAAGGCGGTTCCCAATTCATATTTACCCTCCCTCCCTTTTTATTATTTAAAATGGAAAAAAAGGAAAAAAAAACACCTCCTTTTTTTGGCTATTAAAAAAGCCCAAAAGTCTATTCGCAAACACCTTTTAACCCTACCAAAAAAGACCCCCGGACAAAGACAATTTGGAGGATTTTCCAGCTCTTAATACCACTCCCCTAGCAAAGTTGAAACTGTTGGGGAAAAAGATAATGAAAAGGGAAAAATTACTTCTACGGAAGCTAAGAAAGGCAATAACAAGGAAACAACTATGGAGGCCAATAATGGCCAAAATTCTGAAAAAACCGAAAATGAACCGCAAACTGAGCCTGAGGCCGGGGAATCGCCCTCTTGTTGGTCGTCCCCTCATAAGTGCATTATCAATTTAGCGGAGTTCTTGAGCGTGCCAAGAAAGCATGCCCACCTTGTTGTAGAAGGTGGACTTTTGGAAGACCCCAAGAATTAAAGAAAATTGACAAAGAATAGTGTCAGTTTTCGTCGTGGACAAGCGTACGCGCAAAATTTGTCGCTCGACGAAAAACACAGTGCTGAAAGCACTAGAATCCTTCGGGTCCAAGCCCCTTAGAATAGTTAAAAAGGGACCTAAATTTTCATGTGGGACGTGCTGTTGCCCACACCAGAAGACTGCGTCGCCGCGGCTAGCCGCGAGCTAATAAACAAAGAGCTTATACTGCGTACGGAGTACGAAGGCCGACGTAAGACCAGTGTAACGGTATACGAGGTCCCTCCTCATGTTATCGGGGAACATCTCGCAGCGTTCTTCTCTCAGTATGGCGAAATTCTGGGAGCTTCCTGTGATAGCCTGAGCGGGGGGTGGAGCTTTGACATCATGTTGGACGAGAAAGCCTTCCGCTCCATCCCCAACTGTCTGGATGTTGGCTGTTTGAAGTTACCGGTCATTGTGACGGGTCGAAGACCGGTATGCTGGAGGTGTGGAGTGACTGGTCATCTCTCCTCCTCCTGCCCAGAGAAGGCCTCTGGAAGTCAAGCGCCAGTTACTCAAGATCCACCTCTGACCGCGTCTCTAAATTCCACCTCGCCTGTAATGGGCGTACCAGCCTCAGGACCGGGTCGGTTAATCCTCCGGTCGGCGCGTCATCGAAAGCCACATTCCCCAAAAGAGCCTTCGCCCGCTGCCGGTGCAGTTGTGGAGAAGGGGAGGGGGAATAGCTGGTTGCTGGTAAGGCCAGAAGGAAGCGCCGGACAGCGGGTCCTCAGTCCCCTGAAGCCCCAAGGAAGAAAGGCACATACAGCCCCACTCCCTCTAACAACGTTAAGGGCGATGCCCCGCCTCTGAGCTTACTTTCCAGGAAATGCAGAAAAATTCGACCCCGGTTTCGAAAAAGTCGGAAAAAATTAAGGAATTGAAAAAAACAGCTGGATTCCAAAAGAAAAGACCAGATCCCTTCAACGTCCTCGGCTAGACCCTCCCTTCACCGAAGAAACAACCCTCACCTTCGCCTGCTTCTTCGCCATCAAAAGCCACACCCACAGTAGAGATCCCAGCCCTTATAGACATAGATCATTCTATGTACTCTTCATACACCCACCCTTCACCCGTTAAACAAAAATCTACCCCCTCCATACCCCCAAGCAATCACCGGTAAAAATACCGATATGCCTCCTCCTGCTCCGAAGCGGCAAAAGAAGCCCCTCACAACAGGCAAAAGGAGAAAAGAAAAGAAAAGATTTATTTTCAACACAGGAGAGGAGGTGTGCCGTATTTCCCCTGCCCAGGCCGAGAGATCCCGGGACTATAGTAACAGGGTCAAAGATCTTAAATATACCTGCTCTCAATTAAACAATTTGCCGACCTAGATATTGAGGGAGCCTAAAAACTTCCCAAATGCACAGAGGGTCCTGACAGTACTGGGTCAGGACCTGCAAAAATCAAACCTGGGCTATGGTGGATGAAGCCATTAACGCTTGTAAAATGATGGCTTTGCCCATTGCTATAGTGGAAAACGAGATATTGAAAAAGTTAAAACAGTTCTGTGCAGGGAGGGTCCCCATTTAGTTCACCCATCCCTATATAGAGCTCTTAAATTGACCTTCCCCTGGGATATCAATGTATCTCCCAAGACGGCACCATCAAGAATGAGATGGGCCATGGGTCTATGGGATAGGCTGTCGGTATCCTTACCCCGGCCATGTTTAATGCTGGTAAACAACCCTAATCGGACTTCCCAATGGCTCTCTGGTTAGCTACGTTAAATGTGCTGGGCCTGAGGTCCGAGTCTCGCAGGGCGAGGCTCTCTCGTGACCTTCAGCGCCTCGGAGTGAATGTTTGTTGTGTGCAAGAGACTCGGTTTTCTTCTCATGACCATGAGGATATACTGTCTAGGGGGTTCGCCCTTTATTCAGCATGTTTTGATGGTCGTTCGAGGGGTGTCTCTTGGCTAGTGAGCAAGTCTTTGAAGGCTGCATGTACCCTTGTCTTCGCAGATCCGGCGGGCAGGCTTTGCGTGCTGGATGTTACTATAAAGGATAAGGCTTTACGTCTCATTGGGGTTTATGCACCCAATGTTCATGCTGAGCGGCCTGCTTTGTTTCGGCAGATCGAGCCGTTTTTGACGACTTCTCGTCGGGTAGTCTTAGCGGGGGATTGGAATGCCGTCCTTGACCCCGAGATAGATCGCATAGGTAAGAAACCGGGTACTAACAATCCTGATGTGAAGGCATTTCGGGGCTTTATCGGCAGGTTCGATCTTGTCGATAAGTACCGGAATGAGCACCCTCAGGAGGTAGCATGGACTTGGACAACTAGTGGCAACTCGGATCCTGGCTCGCTTGCGAGCTACCTGACCGAGTGTTAGTTAGAGAGTCGATGTAGGGCTCTTAGAGTGTCCAAGTTTCCACTATATAGTTTATACGGATCATAGGCTTGTCCGGGTCCGTATAAACTTAGATAAGCCTGGTTAGAATGGCTGGTTACTGGAAATTTAACTGTTCACTTTTTGGTGAGCAGGATTTCCGGGACCAGCTGCTACTAATGATTAAGAGGGAATTGACGGGGGCGGTTGTGGTTAACGCCTGGTGGGGAAAATTAAAATCTAAGATTAGAACGTTTGCTGCCGATTTTAGTCGTCGACTCAATCTAGATAGATTAGCGGCGCAAACGGCTTTAGAAGAAAAGGTCGATCGGGCTGTTAAATCCCGTGTTTGTGGGGACATAGTCTTAGCTAAGGCAGAGTTGGCCTCCTTGCTTATCAAGAAGGATTAAGCTCTGGTAGTTAGGGCTAGGCTAAAAAGAATGTCTTCTGAGGCGACGAATATGGCCGCAGAATTGCGTGCAGAGGAAAATCGGAACGCGGCTAAGCGACATATAGCGTGCGTCACATTGCCGGATAAGCGGACCGTGACTACAAGCGCGGGCATATGCGAGGCCTTTCGGCTTTACTTTCAGGATCTTTTCACCAGGGAGCCCGGTCTGAGCTCTGCTCAGTTCGACGCCTATTTTGGCTGACTTTCCCTGCCTTGAGGCAGCTGAAGCGGCTAGGTGCGAGGGTCCCATAACAGAGTCGGAAATCTGGGAAGCGCTGAAGCAGGTTGGCCTGGATAAGTCTCCGGACCAGATGGACTTCCCCTACGAAGTGTACTTGAGGCTGTCGCCCGTTTTGTTTCCTTTGCTGCAGCTGATTTATAAACCACTGGATGAGGCAGGGTCTTTACCTCGACGCTTCACCAGGGGTGTGATCAAGTTGCTGCGTAAGGACAAGAACGGTGGGATGGGTTAGGGAACTTTCGCCCTTTGACGATGTTA